GTCCAAGGCCCACCCAAAACGGACAATACGTAATCTAACGGTTTGGGCAAGAGGTCCGGGTCATTACAAACTGTAACTCCCTGACCCGCATGGACGTAAAACGTCACTCAACCATTGTACCTTAGCCGTAAAGTTAGTTCAATATATTTTTAGTAGAAGGTATAAAGATTAAATTTTAGAATTTAGTTAAAGAAATTTCTTTTTTTTAATTTAAACAATAATTTAATTCTAAAAGAAAACAATTTAAAAAAAAATGTTTTTAGAATGGGTTCTATGCATGTAATGACTATTGACGTGAAATTTTGGCAAAACTTAAAAAGTAATGTTGCTGTCCCAGTTTTCTTTTTTGTCTCAAATAGTAATTGTCAAAATAAATTTGTTTTCATAGCTATCGATCTTGAAACTTCATCAAATTTTAATGTAAGGTAGTAAACCCCTTATAATATGACATAATCAAAAACTAGCTTCCGTCGACATCATATGAGGTATTAAAATATTTTTCAAAACTCAGCAACGATCCGGTTGAAAGGTAAACCGGTGCAGTTCACTTAAAATGGTATATAAAATTCCACCGACATCAAAATCACATGATTTCAATGGTAGAAGCTGAAAAAAAGGACAACACCCAGCATAGTTTACTTTATGTGACATATAACCTTTTACCGATATTAGATTGACACGATTCCAATTTTATTCAGTATCTAACTTATTAGGCTATTCAATCCAATTTGTTTCATATAAAAATACCAAGTAATGAAAGAGTTATGATTTTTTTAAAGATGAGGCAGAAACTGAAATTTCTAAAGAGACATCAAAATTTTAAGTCGCTAACTTTTTTTTTTTGTATACGGTGATTTGTAAATTTATTCATATGACACATATCTACTTTCAAACATAATTTATTCATAACGAGTGTTCGTAAAATAGATCCACACAATATTCATAGGAATCGAATTTAAAGAAAGTGTAAACATCTCAAAATCAACTGAAAATGTAAATCACCGGCTTCTCCATGATATGTTGCATCATCATTTACCATCATCTACGCTTCAAGGAAAATCAATTCAACCTGTAGAAAGGGAATTAACCCATGAGTTTGAAACTCAATAGATATCATCTGTGCAATTCGTTATTAAATTAGAAATTTCGAACTATAGATTCATACCGTCGCACGTAGATGGATTTTCGGCAAAATCCAATTACTATATCATTATCATAACACGTAGAGCCGGAGAATGATCATTCAAACTATTGTAGTGCCGAAGCACCGTACCCGAAGGTACCATTTCATTTAAACATTTATCGAAAAATCAGATTTGAAAACGAATGAACACTTGCACCTCTACCTACCTTGAATTTTCTTGGATAAAAAAACAAAATGTATAGAAAGTCTTCCTTCTTCTTACCCTTGTTATTTTTTAAGCTTAACTTGATATGAAATATATTTTTTGAGAGAAAATGAGATGAAATTCGGACTTGAAGAGGAGTGTTGTGAAAAAGTGACATTCCACTTCTTTAACCTTTCTTTTTAATGAAAAATTAAGTGGGGGATTGTATTATCATTAAATTTATTAAATTTAGTCTTTAACTAAGAATTTGAAGAGTCTCTAAACCATAAAAATAATTAATATAAAAGTTTTATGAAAAAACATTTACATGGTGATTCGAACCTGGGTTGCTTATATGAAATTCCATGTAGATGACCATTGTGACAACCTAGTTATTCATTAAATCTTTGTAATCAATTTTACTTAAACTTAATATCTTAAATTGCTGGGCTTTTAATTAACTTATGACTTGGGCTTTCGTAATCTTACATAGGTTGAGCTTCCATAGGTCGTTTCTAAAATGGGTTAGGCTCGTGGTGTTTGATCATCACAAAATAATAGCATAATTCCATTTTATTTTTTCTCGGCTACTACAGTCCAAGCCATTTGCAAATAGTGTTCAATCAATTACGTATTAATCAATATTCAAATGATTGGTCCGAGGATTTTGAAGTGTTAATTATAATTCGCTACATCATATTGGTATATGAGCACAATCACATTTTTTTATAAAAACATGTGTGTGTTAAATTATATTTGTACGATATCTCCTATATTTGCTATTTGGGTTTTTTTTCAACATTGATATTACTAAATTAACATATCAATGACTTTTTTATTTAGTAGTCTAAAAATATCACAGATGAATACATCATGTCAAAAACACCAATAGAAACAAGGTCTGATTCATCAACAAATCAAAAAAATGGGTCAGATAGTCAAATTAATTTGAAAAATATTAACTTTTTCCATTTTGTTAATTATTAATGTATATTTTTGTTGTCATAGCTTAAATTTATTTTCATTTTGTAGGATTGATGTCACCAAAAAAAGATTGCAATTATATTTTTATAAGACAACCGAATGCATTTGAAGAAGAGTGAATTATTAAAATATTTATACTTCGAAAAGTTCCATCGAGATCTACGGCAATAAGAATGGCCATGTAGAAGTTTCAAAACTAATTTTGTGTGATGTGGATATTATATAATGTCAGAATTGGCCAACACTTTTCTCATAGAAGTTTCACTATTGGACTAATAGATTATTCTTTTATAATGTTTTTAGGGAAGTAATTTTCAAGTTACATTGTTTAAGGATACAATCGAAAAGTTTAATATACTTGAGAAAGAAAAACATACCGACCTCGAAATGAAAATTAAGAACAATCAACCCTTATTTAACATTTTCACATTATATACATCTATAGTTTCATAAAAACTTTTATTCATATTTTATTTTTTTTTACAATTTAAATTTTTCCTTTAACGGTATCATTACCTTAACTACTTTAAAAAAAAAAGTATTAATACTTATAAAAATATTACTCATATCATTCATTCGATATATAAGACGTATAACACACGTGCTTACAACTAGTCTTTTCTAAAATCGCATTTAAACGATAATAGTTACAATAAGAAAACTTAAATATTGAGCCAAAACTCTCATCTCAATTGTTAAACATTAATCCAAATTTTCTTTGTGGTAGTTTTCTTCTTAGAAAGATTAAAATTAAGAATCCGATATAGAAAATTCATTCTCCATTTTAAAATTTTTGTTCTCCAATTCTTCTAATGCTTCTTCGAAAACAAATCATAATGTAACTCCTATTACAATCATGCTACCCATACACCTTCCTGTACATCATCATTTATACTTTGTCACGTGGCAACACACGCTGGACAGTTTCAAAGAATAAATTTTTTCCCTCCAATCGTTTTTACACAATACATCAAATGTCAAACTAGATTATGAGTTCTCCCCCTTGGACTGGTGAACCCACCTTATAGTCTTGTCCAGTGGGTCGATAAATCCTTCACAGTGTATATCTAGCATTTTTGTTCCTACTAAGAGTTTCATTTAGTGTAATAACAATAAAATATTAATATCTTTCCCAAAATCAAATGACCCCATATGCTTTCAGTGATCCCCCAACCGACCCTAAACCACCCTACTTGGATGTCTATGGCATCAGCCACTTGTCGACGACCACCCCCACCAATTCCCGACCTCAATCCACCATCCATAGGCCCCACGCAACATAATAACACTACAACAAAAATAACCTTTTGTAACATGCAAAAGGCAACATTCTTTAATTCAATGCTACTAAAGAGGTCAATCACAACATTCAAATACATGAATGTTACCATTGCTTAATATAATTGAGTTTTGGCACTTAAGAACCCAATGGGCCTTTTCCCCTCGAATCGGGCAAACAAAGAAGGGAATCCCATTGAGTTCTTACGCTTTCATGTCTACAACTCAATTCATCCAATTACTACAGGGATGAACCCAATCATGTTAGAAATTGTGGTTCGAGTAAAGCTACTCCCCTTAATACACCTTCACGGGAGACTACGGGGGTACACTGATAGAGAAAAAAGTGAAAAGGTCTTATAAGCAAATAGTTCTCTATCTTTATCGGTCCCTAGACAATCGATGGGATTGGGTCAGGCTAATCCTTTTGTGTGTCTACCCTCATCATATTGGAAAGCCGCACTCGTCTCTGATGTATAGGAAGTAGTTGGCCTCACATACATCCTTCCCGACCACCCAGCCTTAGCGTATTGAGTTTTCATGGAAGTAGCACGATTCTATAGCAACGGCCATCAAAAGCGGCTAGTCTTGCAGCGGCAACAGAAAGGGTACTATCGGGTCGGGTGAATTCAATAATAGACGTCTGTTGGCATTCCAGCCTTCCTTCTCCGTTCAGGGCCTATCCGAAAGGGTTGGGTCAACCATTCAATCAAATGATATTGAACATGTTTCCTTTCCCATCTCTTCTTGAGAAGGTGAGCCTTCGCATATGTGAGGCCTTGCTAGCTTAGCCCCCCGTTGGCGCCGATTGCTCCTGCTGCTCCCTCCAAAGAGCAGAGCTATTCCTTCTTTAAGAAAAGAGGTTCCCAAAAGCAAGATGTTTAAGCTGCTTCGGGCGCCCTCGCTAATGGTTTGTCTCAGCTGCTCGATGAGGTTGAAAGCAACATTTTTTAAGTGAATGTTGCTAATATCACATTTTTGCAACATTAATTTAGTGTTACGAAAAGTTTTGTCTTTCGCAACATTTATAAAACGTTAAGAAAGACTAAAATGTTGCAAAAAGCTTGGTCTTTCGCAACGCTTTATAAACGTTGCAAAAAGCTTTATCTTTCGTAACATTTATAAAACGTTGCAAAAATGCCGTCTTTCGAAACATTTATAAAACATTGTAGAAAACATTTTCTTTTTGGACCAATAATAGATGAGACAAAAGGAAAAAAATAGGCAAACTCAAACCACAAATTTTACTCCCACTCTTTGCAACCGACAGCTCTCGTCTCTCTGCCAGGGCCGGCCCTGGCCCAAGGTAAGTGAGGCCATTGCCTTGGGCCTCACATTTTAGGGGGCCTCTAGCCCACAACGGTCCCCTCTTTTAATAAAAAAAAAATCGGCGCATAAAATAGGCAAACGAACCGCCTTTCTCTAATTTCATTCCAATCGACAATCGTCTACTCTTCTCCACAGACCACAGTCTATTATTACTGCAAAAGTTCATACATTTTCTGCTCTTGTAATTAGAATTAACTAGTTCCAATCACAAATGGGGTTATCGTCTTCTGCGACATCGTCTGGTTCTCCGTCAAATTGCTTTTCTACCAGCTATTTGAGATGGAATCTTCTACTTACACTTACCTTTTGTGCCAATGCTTCTCACCCTGATAAACCAGCCTTAGTAAGTAATTAATTTATTTGTTAAATTATTTTTAATAGGAATTGAATGTTTAATTGTGTTTTTACTGTAAGAGGGTTCGGCAAAATTGGATTAATTAGTGAATTTTAAAATGCGTTTGGTTTGCACTTGAAAAAGTTTTGCTCTTTAATCACATTCAAAGGGTTTATAAATATTGAAAGCTTTTGTGAAATGCAAGTGGTTTCATTGAAGTCTCTCTCTCTCTCTCTCGTGTGTATATGCTTGTTTCACTTGGACAATCACAGATAAAGCAAAATTACTAGGTTCTTGATTAACACTTTTACGGAGTTTTCTTCATTTCGGTTCTTGATTCGCACTCAAAATTTTTCATAGTTATCACTTTAGAATCCTGTTTAAAATCTAAAATTATAAAAGTTTAGGTAGGTTAATAAAACATAGAAGAAAGCAGTCTGGGGGGGGAGTTATGTGCATAATATTTACTTATAGCATTTGGCCTGAGAGTACGTTGACGCACTTCCTTCTTCGTACAGTTGGTTGATCCAGTTGAGAAGACAGTGGATAGGGATCTTTCCCTTGTGAAAGAATTGGGTTTGAAACGTCTATATGCAATAATTACTCATGTACATACTGATCATGTTACTGGCATTGGTTTGATTAAGGTATGTCTTAACATCCTATGTATACACAGGGAATTGGTGAATTCGATTTTCATTTCTTTTTCCTTTACTTTCCTATGAATACACAGTTGACTACCACTGCAAAAGAAGTTTTATTTTGTTAATCTATCTTTTGAATTGTAAAAAATTTTCTTTTTAATATAAAAGTGTTAATTATTTAAATATTTACGTATTGTTAGACTTGCAGAATAAATTTTGTTTGGAGGGAATTCGTAATTGGTTTCATAATAATTAAACGTAGAGCCTCTAAACTCTCAGTACCGGCCCTACTCTCCTCCTCTCCATCTTGCCACCTCCCACCACTGACCATCGGCCTCTGACGTTCTAGCCCTATACACAGGTCACGCAGCACCTTCAACCCCTAGATGCCTTCGAGCCCTTGAACTTCTCGAGACACGGCAGCCGGCAGCTGTCCTTCGAGTCTACATTTCCACCAACGATTCAATCGTAGAAGAAGAAGGTGAAGCCCATTGATTCTGATTCCTAAACCGCACTCAAGTTCTATCTAAATATTAATTTTCTTGTTCATTCTGTGAAAAAAAAAAAGTGCGTTTGTTTTACTTTTTAGTGAATTCCTAATATTTCTTGATTTAAACTGTGGGGGAAATGGATTTTGATTTGTGGGCTGCTGGAGTTCATTCAACTAAGAAGTTTTCTACTCTCCAAGATGCCAGACTTAATAAATCAAGTGTGGATAATTGATTAATTTCACAGTTATAGTTTTGGGTTCTTGAATTTGCTTTTTTATTTTCTTGCTCAAAATAATTGTTTTTCGTGAGGTTTTGCTGAATAATTGCTGATTAGTTTTTTATAGTTGATTCAGCTTAAAAATTATGCTTCAAGCACTGTTTATTTGGCTATAACCTGAATTTGTAGTGGTTTTGAGTAATTACTGATAATTAGGACATATTTTAAAGAAAAGAAGAAAACTTGGGGAATTGAAGGCACCGAGTTTCTGAAATTTCATATTTTTCACACACTTTATATCTAGTTAGAGTGTAGAAAGGCGAGAGGGAAAAGGTTTAATGTATAATTAATGTAGCTTGAATTTAACAGTGCAAGTTTTTGGGTTCTTGAATTTTCTTTTTCTAGCTCCTAATTTTTCGCGAGATTTTGTCAATTAAACGATGATTTATTTGTTTGTGTTTGACATGGGAGATCCTGGCCCATTTTTCTGATCATATTTCCTTTGATTTTGATCATTCTGTTCTGAAATTGGAGTAGCATCATAATTCTATTGTATATGTCTATTTTAGCTTACACTTCTGCTCTACACACTCAAAACTGAATTATATGAACATTCTTGAATGGGTCGTAGCCCTCTTACCATTGTGTTATTTTCATCAAACAAATTCTCTTTTGGATTAGGCAGAGTCTGGAAGGTAGATTTTGTTTTACATAATATCAACCCTCTTAGAAAATTCCATGGTGCTGCCTCTTCTTGTGAGCTCATTTATGCACCACAGCATGCCATCCCCTTTTTTCACATTGGAGAGAAGTATAAAACTACAAAATATGTGATAACTGGTGTGACAGAAGGCTTGGATACATTTGATGCCAGTGGCATGAAAAAGATCAGTGGTGGTCAATGAAGTAGGATTGATGTGCCTCCTCCTTCACCCACCTCTGTCAACCTTTCTCTTTGGAGTAACAGTATTGACATTTAAATCAGTAGCTATGCTTGCTAAAGCAATAAGAAGAAGTGGTGATTCTTCCCCAACTTCTCAAAGTAGATGTAAGAGGCGAGAATAGTTGTGATCCACGTGTTGCAATGAGTTGACTTGCAGTCAGTATTCTTTTTATTGAAGTGTGTAGAAAGACAAGGTTGAGATAAACAAGTATAGGTTTGACAGTAGGCACATAATGGTAGGGAGCCTAGGGATTGCAATGTAATTTAGGAATCAATCCATTGACTAAATGTAAATTTATTTTTACCTTACCTATTCTTTATATTTGTCATTTAATCTTAGGGCAGACATTATATTATACTGAAATACAGTTTTTTATTTGTATCTAAATGACCAACATCTACACGTGTAAATAATTTGATAGGGCTGGCATTCACTGATTTCACTAGTAGAGAACTGCATGAGCACACAGTTGCATTTCCTTGAAAGAGCTATTTAATGAAATGCCTTATAAATCTGTGTTATGTTTATATTTGTACCTCAAAAATGAGGTAGAATGAACAGTTCATGAGCATTTTTGAAGTCTTTGGAGATCTGTGTGGCTTAAACGGATCAATGCTTCTAAATAATTCATTGATTTGTGGTCAACATACCGAAAAAAAACAATCTGTGGAATTAATTTTTTTCCTGATTCTTGTGTTTCAAGATAAAGGAGCTTATTAGAGGTGAAGGACGCTCAAAATGCAGAGCACATGGAGATCCCACTGTTCCAGAGCGGATAGGCTACAAGATCTTCACCAAAGTTCATGGTCAGTAAATGCAGAGACTAATCCAGAATAATAAAGTCATGCAACCTTGTAAGGTAGTTTAATTAGAACATATTTGTTGTTGAGCATTGACAGTCTCTTTTTTCTATCTTAGAGGAGGAAAAAAAACTTAAAAATTCGGCTTTTGGAGTAACATATCCACATTATTATAGACATCAGAGAACTAAGTTCATATTCAATGAGTGGTTGGATTAATGGGAGTGAACCTGCACCTGATCCACTCCTTTCCCACGTTTCTCTACAATATGCCCCTTTCGGATTCTAAAGATAGTCAGAAAGATGTAACTTCTTACATTGCTGCCACTAGTGATGTAGAAATATCATTAATTTCGATATGAATTAGATGAAGAGAAGTTGGTTATGTTTTTCAATAGCATGCTTGCATTTTTTACATTATGTATTCAAGTGTATTGGAGAATATTGTCATGCTTCACATTATGTATTCAAAAATTTGTAATGAAATTATAATTTTTTATAAAATTCCATAATTTGTCATTTTCAATTTTGCGAGTCAATTTATATAAATTACTGTGTAAAAAAAACTGTTGCGAAACACTTACGGCAACTTTTTTTAAATGTTGCGAAAGACTTTCAACAACGTTTTATTAAACGTTGCTGTAGACACTTATGGCAAAGTTTAAAACACGTTGCTGTAAGTGTTTATGGCAAAGTTTTTTTAAATGTTGCCAAAAGTCTTTCGCAACATTTAAAAAATGTTACCGTATCCTTCCGCTCTATAGAAACACTGAGGTTTGCAACATACATTCAAACGTTACAAAAGGTCTTCAACAACGTTTTTTTAACATTGCAAAAGGCTATTTTTGTTGTAGTGAGCTTCAAAATTCATGTTGTCCATATCTCTAGACATTTAATTTCGCCATAATGGATGACTTTCCGACGAGTCGCCATCATAGGGCGTACCAACCAACACTATGGGCCCCTTCAATTTGAACCATATTAGCTTGGAGAACCTCGATTGCCTCAGGACGCTTGTGATCCATTAGGGTTATCTTGATGTAAAAATGTCAGAGAGCTAATGGTTAACTTGAATGAGGTTTGTGTTGGCTTGAGTAATTAGAATAGCAAGAATGCAAGAAACAATTAATTGTAAATAGCAAGATCAAAGGAATCAATTAACTATAAAATCACACGCTTAGAGGGTCAAACATGAATTAGCCATAGATAATGCATAGCCTAGAATAGATTCCTAAAACTCCTCCTTGTATCTTTATAGCTATGTAATTTATTCTCGGTAAAGTAATTGAAAATCCCTGTTTCACAAAATCTCTGTTTGACATGGTACCAGAGCATGGTATTAGTTTTCCTGCTCAACTCTACCCTTAACAAAAAAAGGAACTAGGCTACTCGAAATCCATGATCTCTTTTGAACCAACCCTACACCATGACATCTTGACTGAATCCATTATGGACAATTTGACCACCAAGACGATATAAGTCTTGACTAGTGTCCAGACCTCATCAATATCACTGATTGTTGATTTCTCAACTGTCCCGCCTCCCAATCAACATTAAGTTGAATGGTTCCAACTATGCTTTATGGTCCCAAATTGTTGAGACTAGCCACAATAGGTTTTATTAGTGAAGGGAAAAATTAGGAGACCCTACTGTAAAAATTTGTTACAAAATGCAGGAAAGATCTCACCAATGAGTTTGATAAAACTTAATTTCCACTAGCCAATGTTTACAGCAATTTGAAGCAAGTTTCAGAATCCAATCAACTCACAGGAATTAGAGATGCTCCAGAAGTCCATGATTGCTCTGACACCACTGAAAAGTTTGAGGAGTATCCAAGATTAATAAGGATTCACAAAACCACAATACAACAGTAAGTAAAGTGCAGAAATAAGAAAATCAACACAGAGATTTTTTAACTAAAGCTCTAGAGGTTCGACGACCACTTCTAACGCCTAAACCCCTATTGGGCATCCATTAAACTGAATAAAGTTTGATTGCACTATAAAGCCCCAAAAACAGGCAGCAAGTTTACAAGATTCGTTCCAGAAATTACAAAGAAATAAATTACAGAGACTTATCTTATGAAGAACAACAACAGCCAATCACTATTCCACAAAGGAATCAAAATGGATCAAGAAGATCTCACTAAAAGCCCGAATTGTCTTCTCTTGAATCACTTAGAATCAGGTGCATATCACACGGCAAATCACGTTCCACAAAGGAACATTTGTTTCTATAGTATTACACAGTTTTTACAGATTTTATTTTCTGAAAGGACCTCAAGAAATCAAGCCCTAATCACTAAGAGGAAGGGTTTCTTCACAGAGAGGAGAGAGAATGAGCAGAATCGAAATCAGAGAGCCAAAAATGAATAATGATTCTTCCATAATTGTAGCCCACTAGTCAAAGACCATGTATTTGATCACAGCCACACATTGTAATCCAATGGCTCGCATTCCATTTTAAGTAGAAGTCAAGCTTTACGGTTGAAACAGTGAAATAACGGTCAAAAAATCAATTTTTTGAGTGAAAAATCACTCCCAAACACTCCCTATAAAACAAGATCAAACTCCACACTTAAAACACCCTTTTTAGGTCGCTCTTATATGAGAATGATATAGGTAAAAATTACCTAATGTACTTTAACTTTTCGTCTCAATCCCCCATGGAAACCTACTGTCTAGACATGCAATTTGTGGTCAAATTAGGATTTCTTACCCAAATTACCATTCATCATATCAACTAAATTATATTTTTTGAGGCACTCTTACTTGATATTTCTTGGGCTTTGCTAATGTCACCTAACACGAGGCAGATAAACCAAACATGAAGTACCTCTTGTGCTAGATCATAGGTTATCTCACACCTTGCTGATGGTTGAAATGTGAGGGTTCGATTCCTGAGACATGGAATTGAACTCCTTGTAGGCACAGTGTACAAGCAGCTCTTGTTCCCTGACCTGTTGGGGCACATCCCGCGATTTACCTTCCTCACAAAACTCTAGAGGCAGGACGGGGGGGCCTCAAGGTTGGGATTCAAAATTTTTTATTTATTTTTTTTTTTACTATTCACTAAGATATATTGATTGGTGATGTGATGTGAAACGAACATCCGAAAAAAGACTTCTACATGTTTGTTAAGCAGTATTTACAACACTATAGAATAATTCCTTTTCTTTTATAATCATTTCAATATTATTGTTTGAGACATGCATATCAAACTAAACTTTTATTAACTGAAATCCCACAAAAAGCAAAAGATATTCCTTCGAATTTGTAAAAATTCTTCATTGAAGCTTCAAAATGCTCCTAGTAATATGGTGATTGAAGCAAAATCAAAATCACACCCACGAGTTATTCATTTTTATTCTCCACTATAATATTCAGCAAAAAAAAAATTAATAATATTAAAAAAAAAATTATGTAGTCTTTTCAGCATGCATCGTTTAAAACATGCTAAAATCATCCATTTATATATTTATAGTTCAACTACTGGCTAGTTATGCAGGAGCAAAAATGCAGTTTTCCAGAGCGGAAAGCACGAGCACCTTATATATAGGAAACCATTTTGGCAAGCAGTTTTGAGCTATTTGTTTGACAGCTTGACAGCACGAATTGTCAAGGGGAACTCCAAACACTGTTTTAAAAATCTCTGCTTTGCAACCTTCAACATATATTAGAGCTGCCAAGCACGGCTGTTCCTTGATTAGCATTGCATCTGGTCTCAGCCCAACAGGAGACAATTGCGGCTGTGGCGCAACGGCGAAATGCGAGAATTTTGCTTTGCTGCCATAACTGCTATTGTCTCCATGGATACAAGCATTAGTAACAATGACAAAGCTCCCTTAGCATATGCTGATTTAGATGCCATAATTTTTGTAATATAACTTGGAATTTTCTATTTTTTTCTTAAGGAAGATTATAAAATGGATTTGTGAGGAGATGCTTCTAAGAATGGGCTATTTATATGTCAAATTACATTAATTAAATGTATTAGTTTTTAATTCAAGTGTGTTTCGGTTTCACCTAATTTGCTACAGTTTTTTTTGCGTATTCATTAGTTGTTCTTGATTTTTATTTCAAAACATTTTAATGTGTTGAGAAAAAACAACCTCCCAAGATTGCCCAAAAACTAAAGCTTGACAATGTGAAAAAAATCCCAAACCACTTCAAAAACAAGAAAATGGGGAAGAAATTATTTTCAATGTATATTGGAAGAACAATGTATTTGGATTACTTGAACAAGCCTCAAGTTAATTCCTAAGAATATAAATAGCTTTGAATTTATACCCAAGATGAACAACCTCAATCTTGTAAAATTCTATCCAAACTTTCTCTTCTATTTTGCTCTTAAAATCAGGTCTAAATTAAGGGGGGAAAATAGCTATATAAATAGCTGAGTAGGGCGCCATGGCGCCAAGTTTCGTGCAAAAACATGGGCGCCATGGCGCCCTCCTCACTGCATCTTGCTTTCAATTTGGGCGCCATGGCGCCTGACTCCCTACACCATTTTTTCTTACAATTCTCCACCTCGTACATCATTTGATAGACCTCAAATTTTGGACGAACACAAGAAGAAGCAGTAAGCGCCAAACTCGGCTGCACCATTCAAACCATGGTTGCCTACGTAACCAAAACTTGGGATCAAGCCTCCGTAGTTCACCTCCACCTTCATATACTCTCCACCTCATTTCAACCCCGCCCCGAAAGGCCATGCCCACTCAGGCATATCAACACGGACTAATGTGAAGCAAGTCCAAGTAATGCTGAAACTTGCTATCCGTTACCACTTTGGTTAACATGTTTATTGGGTTCTCATTTGTGTGTACCTTCGAGAGTGAAATATCACCTTCCTCTATGACATCACGCACAAAATGATACCTGACGTCGATATGCTTGGTTCAAGCATGATGAACCTGATTCTTAGCCAAGTGAATCGCACTCTGGTTATCACACCACAAGTCCACACAATCCTGCTCAATCCCCAAATCATCTAGAAGACCCCACAACCACAATGCTTCATTCACTCCCTCTGCCATAGCCATATACTCAGCCTCTGTAGTAGAAAGAGCCACTGTAGCCTGTAACATCGATCGCCAACTAACTGGGGCACCATGTATGCAAAACACATATCCAATAGTAGATCGTCGTCTATCTAGATCACCTGCATAATCCGAGTCCACAAACCCACTTATATGACATGCATCTCTACCAAAACATAAACCCGTATCCGCGGTACCTTTTAAGTACCTCAGGATCCACTTCACAGCTTCCCAGTGTGCCTTCCCCGGATTCGCCATGAATCTACTGACCACACTAACCGCCTGTGAAATATCTGGGCGTGTACACACCATGGCATACATCAAACTGCCAACTGCACTAGCATAAGGTACACGATCCATGCGTACCTTTTCTTTCGTTGTAGTAGGAGATTGTTTACCAAAGAGCCTGGAATGTGGAGCCAATGGAGTCACCACCGACTTTGCACCTTGCAACCCAAACCTAGCAATAACCCGCTCAATGTAGCCTTTCTGACTTAAGAACATTCGCCGATTCGTCCTCTCTCTTCTAATCTCCATTTCCCAGTATTTTCCTAGCAGCCCCCATATCCTTCATCTCAAACTCTTTACCAAGTTGAGATTTCAACCTATCTATCTCCACCTTGCTTTTCGAAGCGATAAGCATGTCATCCACATACAATAGAAGATAGATATAGTTACCTCCTCGAAGTTTTCGAATATAAACACAACAATCATACTCACTTCTGGAGAAGCAATGCTTTAGCATGAAGGAGTCAAATCGATTGTACCACTGCCGAGGAAATTGCTTCAATCCATAAAGTGATTTTCTCAAGCGACATACCTGACGTTCCTTATCCTCAACCTTGTAGTCCTCAGGTTGATGCATATAGATTTCCTCATCCAAGTCCCCGTGCAAGAAGGCAGTTTTGACATCGAGTTGTTCCAGCTCAAGATCATGATGAGCAACAATACTCAATAGCACCCGAATGGAAGTATGCTTGACCACCGGAGAAAAGATCTCATTGTAGTCAACTCTCCCTCTTTGTGCAAACCCCTTAGCCACTAACCTTGCTTTGAATCTTGTACCACCGAGCTTGGTAGGATCCTCTTTCTTTTTGTACAACCACTTGCAATCAATAGCTTTCTTACCTATGGGCAATGGGACAACCTCTCATGTTTGGTACTTGTGAAGTGATTCCATCTCTTCTTCCATTGCTGCCACCCAACTCTCACTATTGTTGTTTAAAATAGCTTCCTTGAAAGTGGTAGGCTCATCATCCTCCACCAAGAGTGCATACTCAACCAAATTTGTCTGCCCATAATGCCTCAAAGGCTCGTCTGACCCCAACTTTAGAACTTGTTTGTAAGTACGGCGTGGCCTAGAGGAAGCCAAGTTATCTGCAAGCTGTTGTTGTTGCTGTGCCTGTACATTCTCTTGCTGAACCGCCTCTTATTCAAGTCCATCATCACTCTCATCTTGAGTGTCTGTATGATGTTCCTCTTGAGCATGCCTAGAACCAGGTTGATCTCTAGATTCTATGTCAACAACTTAAGACTTTGTAGTCTCAACATCATCACCACCGGGCACTGTAGCTTTCAACGAAGCTACCATGGAGTTCTCATCAAAAGTGACATCTCTGCTGATTATGAACTTAGAATCCTCTACACACCATAGGCGATAGCCTTTTACACCTGTCGCATACCCCAGGAATATAGCCTTCTTGGCCCTCGCATCAAGATTTCCCTCGTTGACGTGATAGTAGGCTGTGCATCCGAATATTCCGAATTTCTCATAATCTGCATGTTCTCCTGTCAATACCCTGTAAGGTACATCTCCATCTAACATTGAATGTGGATATCGGTTCACTATGTAGCAAGCATTTGCAACCGACTCTGCTCACCATTCTCTGCCCAAACCAGCATAGGATCGCATACACATCGATTTCTCTCAAAATGTGTGATTTAGTCTTTCTGCGACCTCATTCTGTTGCGGTGTATTCCTAACTGTCCAGTGTCTCGCAATGCCTTCCTTACCATAGAACTCCTTGAAAGCACCATCAGTATACTTAGTACCGTTATCAAATCGCAGTGTCTTCAATTTCTTTCCTATTCTGTTTTCAACCATTGTTTTCCACTTCTTGAAAGTGTCGAATACCTCATTCTTATGCTTCAAAAAATAAATCCAAGCATATCTAGAATAATCATCAACAAATGTAACAAAATACCTGGAACCGCCTTTGGAAGTGACAGAAGCCGGACCCCATACATTCGTGTGCACATAGTCTAGAATGTCTCTGCTTCTTTATTTGCTTGGCTGGAACTGAACTCGGTGTGCTTTATCGTACACGCAATGCTCGCAAAAATCCATGCAAGACTTCTTCAAATTCTTTAGCAAACCTTTCTTGACTAACAAATCTAGCCCCTTTTCAGACATATGCCCAAGCCTCCTATGCCATAGCCGAGTGCACTCACATGGGTCTCCACCACTTCCACTTGTTCCAACTGCTACATCTTCTGTAACTGTAGTACCCTGAAGAGCATAGAGATTGCCTTCACGAATACCCTTCATTACAATCAAAGAACCACGAACAACCTTCTTTACTCCATTCCATATTACAATCTTGCAACCACCGGAGTCTAAGGCACTAACAGAGATAAAGTTCTTCCGCAAATCAAGAACATATCTAACATCCATCAATGTTCTAACCACTCCATCATGCATCTTGATTCTAATTGAACCGAGCCCCACCGTTTTACAGGAATGGTTATTACCTAGCAACACGATTCCACCATCAGTGCTTCTATAGGTAGTAAACCACTTCCTATTTGGACACTTATGGTAAGAGCATCCAGAGTCAAGAATCCACTTACCGGATGTTTCTTCATCACAAGAGATGGTGTAGCACTAATCGCTTTCCCCTCCTTCCGAGGCATAGCTTACCTCTTGCTTGACTTGTACCTTCCCATTGTTGTTCTTATTGTTCTTCTTTGAACCCCTTTTGTTAGTACAATTCGCCTTGAAATACCTGACCTCGCCGCATTTGAAACAAGACCATTTCCAAGAGGTCTAGAACTCGATTTAGATTTTTCTCCCTTGCCCTTTGGTCGTACATTGCTTCTACCCCTTACAAACAATCCTTGAGCTTGCTCCTTGTTACCAATGGTAAACATGCCACTAGTTGCAATCTTTCGAAGATCATTCGCTAGAAGTAACGTTCTAGTGTCCTCCATCACAAGTTTATCACCCACAAGCATCAATATTTGTACTAGGTTCTCGTAAGACTTTGGCAATGAAAGAAGTAGTAGAAGTGCTTGATCCTCATCATCTACTTCCACATCAATGTCCTTCAAGTCCAATATGATCCTATCAAACTTGTTGACGTACTCCCGGATTGGTGTACCTTCATCCATCTTACAAGTATACAATTTGGACTTCAAATAGATCCGATTTGTTAGAGTCTTCGTCATGAAGTTCACCTCCAACTTTGTCCGCACTTCCGCCGCCGTTACCTCACTATCAACCAAGAAAGCAACATCTCTTTCAAGGCATAGAATGATAGACGCTCGTGCCTCAAGATCTAGCTCTTCCCAATCCGTCCGACATATCAACGTGCTTCTTCTCCTTTCCCGCCAATGCCTTGTGCAACTTTTGAGAAATCAACAAATTTTTCATTTGCATTCTCCAATATGAAAAATCATTCTTCCCATTAAATTTCTCTATCTCATACTTCCCAATCTTCACCATTCCTCTAGTAGACATGATTTATCTACTTGTTTACCGGAAATAAACCACCAAAGTTTACTTGGGAATTTTTACAAACACCTTGTGTGCACAACAAAGTTCAAGCAACTCACCAAAAATCGAAGTTTAACCACCTTGATTTAAGAAGAAGCTTTGATACCAAATTGTTGGGAAAAAAACGACCTCCCAAGATTGCCCAAGAAATAAAGTTTGACAATGTGAAAAAAAATTCCCAAACCACTTCAAGAACAAGAAAATGGGGAAGAAATGATTTTCAATGTATATTGGAAGAACAATGTATTTGGATTACTTGAACAAGCCTCAAGTTAATCCCCAAGAATATAAATAGCTTTGAATTTATACTAAAGATGAACAACCTCAATCTTGTAAAATTCTATCCAAGCTTTCTCTTCTATTTTGCTCTTAAAATCGGGTCTAAATGAAGGGGGAAAAACAATTATATAAATAGTTGAGTCGGGCGCCATGGCGCCCGCCTCACTGCATCTTACTTTCAATTTGGGCGCATGGCGCCTGACTCCCTGCACCATTTTTTCTTGCATAATGCTATTGTAACTCATGAGTTATATTTTGAGTCATATTAATTCTCACACAAAACGGATACCATTTTTTAAATTGGTGAGTTAGTTGCTGCAATTTAGTTAATTCAAAACAAAGAGTGCTAAGAGTTATATTGATTCTCCTCAATAAAACATTTGCCAAATTTTGTGTTCTATTTGATGATGAATAGTTCCCAAGTAAAGAATATGAGTGGCAAATAATACTTAGAAGCAAGTATGACCCTCATAATATCCAGAAAGACCAAAAAAGGGCATTTAAGATTAGAAAAGAAAAAACCATCTTATGCATAAAATAAGAAATTCCCTTCATACATTTTCCAAAGCAAAAATGTTTTATAAATGTCACACTGACTTGATTTTTATAGTAGAAACTACCGCCGCCATCTTCATTAACATTTCGTTTCTATGTTGCAGAATGTAAGATTTCAAAAGAAATAAGAAAGAGAAGAAGCATGTGAATCAGGGCTTTGAGAGGAGAAACCTTTTCTTCATTGAATTGAACGCCCACAAGTCTTTTTGATTACCGAAAAAAAAAAAATTCTCTAACAAATTGGTGCTCTCTAGAACCTTTCTGCTTCAGCAACTTGTATGAGTAATAGCATCAACAGATTCTAATACCCCATGCAAGATGGAGAATAGAGGTTGACTGTTCCCATCTTGGACAAGTGGGAATGAAGGACGTAAGAGGGCAAAGCCTTGGTAAGGAAGTGTGCCAATTGTGAATGAGTGGAGACATAAGAGGTCCGAACATTGCCTTCCAAGATCTTATCATGAATTAAGTGGCAATCAATCTCTATATGCTTAGTTCTTTCATGAAAGACAGGATTTGTAGCTATGTCGAGGGCTGCTTGGTTATCACAGAAGAGCAATGCAGGTTTAGGGTGTGATATTTGTAGGTCATGAAGTAAGTAGCGAAGCCACATGAGTTCTGAGCAAGTGGTAGCCATAGCTTGGTATTCAGATTCGGCTGAAGATCGAGAAACAATGATCCGCTTCTTGAATTTCCAAGAAATTAAGGAATGTCCTATGAAGATACAATACTTCGTGATAGATCTTCTAGAATCCGAGCGAAAAGCCCAGTCGGAATCACAGTAGGCTTGAAGTTGTAAAGGAGCAGAAGCTGAGAAGAAAATGCCTTGACCCGAAGCTGAGTTAATGTACAATAGAACCTTGTATGCTGCTACCAAATGAGCTGTTGTGGGACAAGTCATGAACTGGCTGAGAGTCAGTACAGTGTAGTTAATATCAAGTCTTGTTATTGTTAAATACATTAGCCTTCCAATTAATCTGCGAGAAGAGATGGGATCAGATAAAGGTTTCCCACCACCTTTCCTGAGTCTTACATTTTGATCCATGGGGATTTTCATAGGTTTAGAAGCCAAAGTATCTGAGTCTGAGAAAATGTCCAAACTATATTTTCGCTGGCAAAGATGAACTCCTTTTGTTGATCATGTTACCTCTATCCCAAGAAAATACTTTAAAGTCCCAAGGTCTTTTTATCTTGAACTGTGCACCCAACAATTGTTTTAAGGCAGCAATTGAATCCAACCTATTGCTTGCAACTAAGATATTGTCAACATAAGCAAGCAAAACCATGAAGGAGTCTTTATCTCTTTTAGTAAATAACTGTAGTCTACTTTGGATTGCTCAAAACCAAAATGCAAAAGGCAAGAACAAAGTTTTGCATACCTTTGCCTAGAGGCTTGTTTAAGCCCATATAAGCTCTTGAGGAGCTTACAAACATGATCAGGTCCTCATTTGGTATACCCTAGCGGTTTTCTCATATATACTTCCTCTCGAAGGTCTCCATGTAAAAAGGCACTATTTACATCAAATTGATGTAAATCAAGGCCTTGAACTGTAGCAATACTAATGAGACACTGAACTGTTACCATCTTTGTAACGAGGGAGAAAGTCTCATGGTAATCTACGCCCTCTTGCTGTGTCTACCCTTTGGCAACCAACCTGGCTTTTAGCCTATCCACTAACACATCTGAATTACATTTCACCTTGTAAACATACTTACAATCAATGGCTTCTTTTCCAGGTGGAAGGTCCGTGAGAATCCAAGTTTTGTTAACAGTTCAGTGTCCGTGGCCTTGCACTAGTCAGGAATTTTAACTGCTTCTTGATAAGTATGTGATTCAACATGCTTTGAAATAGAAGAAGCAAAGAATTGCATTTCAGGAGAAAAATTATGGTAAGGTAAGACATCAATCAAAGGATAAAGAATGTTAGAAGAAGAGAAAGTGGCCTTGCTTGAAGGCTGTGATTGTCAATTGATAGTGACCTGTTGACAGTGAAAATCATCAAGATATTTGGGAGCATTCCCATTCCTAGTGGACCTACGAAGGGGAATTTCATCCACAACAGGATGAGAACTAGGACTGACCCGAGAGATTGAAGGAGGGGAATTAGAAAGAGAAGTAGAAGTTGAAGGGCTGCTATGATTACTGTCATGGACTTCTATAGAAGGAGGGATATGACTTATAGAAGAAGAAGGAGAGTCAACAGAATTAGAAATAGGTAAAGAAAAGACAGGCAAGATGGGATCTTTATAAGGAGATAAGTCATAACCAATGAGTCATGAAAAACAAAATCTCTTGAGAGGAAGATGGTCTTGTTCTCTAGATCCAACAGTTTGTAGCCTTTACCACAAAAAATGCATTTTCTGTCCCTTGGATCAAACTTCTTTCTCCCATGAGACAACGTGGTAGCATATCAAAGGCATCTTAAAATTCGCATGTGAGCATAAGATGGTTTAGTATTGAAGAGAACTTCATATGGAGTTTTATTGTCAAGCAACGGTGTGGGAGTTCTATTTATAATATATGCAGAGGTCGGGTGACAATCATTTCAGAATTCTAAGGGAAGAGAGGCTTGAAAACGAAGAGCTCTAGCCACATTAAGGAGGTTTTGGTGTTTTCTTTTCACTACACCATTTTGTTGAGGTGTTTCCACACAACTTCTTTGATGTATTATGCCTTTGGTGTTAAAGAAATCCCTCATTTGGAATTTTACCCCAATATCACTCCTAAGCAATTTGATTTTTTCTTTGAATTGAGTTTCAATCATGTTATAGAAAGACTCCATGCACTTTCTGGTTTCAGATATTGTCTTAAGTAAATAAACCCAAGTACGCCTACAAAAATCATCCACAATAGTAAGAAAATAATTGCTGCCATCATAGGCAGTATTAGAACATGGGCCCCATAAATCACAATTGTATCATTTCAAGTATGTGGGAAGATTTGTATTGACTAACAAGAAAAAGGAACTCTATGTTGCTTAGCCAAAGGGTATACGCAGCAACAAGTAGTATTACTAGGAACAACTTTGCCCTTTACAATGGGGTATGTGATCAAATGCAATCTGGAAATAGAGATATGACCTAAGCGACAATGCCAAAGGTCTGATACATTACTACTGTTGATAACAGATGAAGAAACAATGGAGTTATATTGAGTAAATTGAGGAAAGGCTTTGGCAAGAGCTGAAGGAGGGACATCTTTTGTTAGCAGATGATAAAGGCCACCATGTGATTTAGTAATCCCAATCGTGGTCCAAGTGGAAAGATACTGAATAAAGCAAGCATTGGACAGAAAAAGAAGACAACGTGTAAGTGATTGTGTCAACCTTCTAGTAAAGATAAGATTAAAGGAAAATGAAGGAACACACAAAACATTGATCAAAAACATATTGTCCTAATCTTGACCGTACCGAGATGAGTGACTAGAATGAGATTCCATTTTGGTAATTTCACAGAATAAGAAACTTCAACCATGATAGTACTAAAAAAGGAAGTGCAACAAATCACATGGTCAGTGGCTCTCGAGCCAATTATCCTAGGAATATTTGTGGGATAAGATGAACTATGTATGACAATGGATAGAGTAGTGGTTATATCAGACATAGTAGATGCTTTAGGATCAATTGCAGATGGCTTGAAAAGAGTCTGAGCATGATTAATTGAAGGAGAAGTAATTGTGAAGTCCTTGTTCTATAGCAGGGCCATTAGCTGCTCGTATTGGCCCTTTGTCAACTCCACTTTGTTCTCACTTTCCTTCTCCTGGTCAGAAGCAACACAAAGATTCTTGGCCAAAGAACTAGCACATTTGGCCTTGTACAGCTTATGTCCTGAAGGGTACCCATGAAGCCGATAGCATTTGTCAACCATGTGGCCAATCATATTGCAATAAGTGCAAATGGGTGGCTCAGCATTGCCAGCCTTGAAACAGTTCTCCAGAGGATGCCCTTGAATCTTGCAGTGGGAATAATAAGGTCTCTCTCTCTTCTGATTAACAGAAGGTTTAAAATTGTTTGGCTTATAGGTCTGGTAGTTAGATTTGGTAGCTAAAGCCACAAAATCAGGTGCAGGGGTATGGGAGGTCATCTGGTTCTGATGTTCCTGTTGTTGAATGAGGGAAAAAACTTTGTTAACAGAAGGTAAGGGTCGATGAGCGTAATTTGGTCTCTAATATTTGCATACTTCTTATTCAAGCCAATAAGAAATTGCATAACACAATTGATTTGGTATCGATCTAGAAGTGTTTTCAATTTGCCACACTCACAAGATGGGATAAGGTCATAAATAGATAATTTATCTTATATTGACTTCAATTTCCCATAATAAATACTTACTGAATCATTTTCTTGCAACAGGCTAGCCATAGCTTTTTTGAGTTGGAATATTTGAGGTTCGTTTAGCTAGGAAAAACGGTCCCTTAACTTCAACCAGATTTCCTGAGCATCATCTACAAACACAATACTGGATTAGATAGCAGTACTGATGGAGTTTTGAATTCAGGAAATGACCATATCGTTACATCGCTCCCAAACGTCAAACTTAGGGTCATTTGGATCAGTCGGCTTCTGGATACTCCCATTAATAAAGCCCAATTTATTTTTTGCTCTAAGTGCTCGACGCATTGCACGTGACCAGGTTGCATAATTGTCCGTGGTTAGTGGGTCAATGATAAGAGTCACTCCAGGACTATCTCCATTCTCCAATCGGTAAGGATTTGCAGGGTCTGTGAAATTGAGGAAAAGAAAGGAAATTTTTTGGTTGATTTCAGCGTTTCGGTCCAACTTTGTAGAGTCATGGAAATGGAGATTAGTCCCATTGTTTTCAGCATCAGTTGGTTGGGAAGCCATGGAGATGGAGCTTCACTGCTCTAATACCATGTAAGATTTCAAAAAAAATGAGAAAGAAAAGAAGCATGTGAATCAGGGCATAGAGAGGAGAAACCTTTTCTTCATTGAACGTAATAGAACTTGCAAAATTAAGATGATGATTTCGAGTTTTATTATTCTAATTGACAGCTAATCGAAGCAATTTGAATGCATACGATTAGAATAAAATTCAATTAAGGATGAGGAATACAATATAAGTTAATTCTCAATTATCCATCAATTGTTAATTCTTGCGTTCAATTCTATATTTATATGTGAACCTTATTATTTTTAATTCGATTACAAACACAAACACAAACACATAAGCATGCATTAATTCACAAAGATCATCATTCACGATTTTATAAGGAACATAATATCTCCATTTATTATAGGACTCTATCTTATTTACGGCCAATAAGTGAATTTCTGGCACTTATTTTATTCTTTAATTTTCAAAATTTTGAGATTGCGTTCTGAATATTTTTCTCTTTATTACATGAAATCATTGAAGTTTCCTTTGCATATAGGCATATGAATAAGTGTTTCAAAAAGTCAGACATAATACTAACTGATAAAGAAGTGCCGTTGGTCTTGTGAATGATTTATAGAATACAACGAAAGAAGGGTGATGGTAGCGAAGAATACTGAAGGAGAAAGGAAGAAACAAGGATACTTTATGTCAAAGATATTTCTGGAAATCGTAAAAATCTTCATCGAAGCTTCAGACTATTCTTAATAACCAAACTGACCGATATGAAATTAATACCACAATCAGTGGCGGATCTAGGTGGTGGCGAACTAGGGCAGTCGCCCTAGCTAGATTCGCCGGAACTGCCTGGAGCCATTTTTTATTTTTTTTTTGGTTGACAATGGATTAAAATTTTAGGTTATATTTTTGATGCTCAATTTAATTTCAAGTAATTTGTGTGGCTCACTTGGTCAGTTGCTAAAAGTGCATGGTGGAGGTCTCGGATTCGAACTTTTTTCACCAACAAACTATTGTGCAATAATATTTTAATATAACAATTTTTGCCAAAATTGAAGAGAGTGAGAGACCAATCAAAAATTCAAACTTGTGACCTTTTCTTAGATATAGTATGATCTTCACTACCATGACACCCATCAATTACTTGTAATAAGCTCAACAAAATAATATTTATTTGGTTCTATCTATTGTAATGCAAGTGCAATAAAAAAGATTCGAATCCGTGCTCTTCCTTTAAAATATACAAAGCTTGGCAACAATATCATTAGATAAGTCCTTTTATTCTTATAACATAATAACATATGTTCAATTTGAACAAAATAAGATTCCTATTTTTTTTTTTTCAAATACATTTTTTTCTCTTTTTTTCAACCACATATTCATCAAAAAAAAATATTACACACAGATTCAAATTTATTTATTTTTTTAGCCACACATTCTCCATCAAATCACTATTACAAAATCATTTTTTTTTTTGTTAGTATCAAACGAACTTTTAATATTTTATTGCGATCAACGGTAGATAGTCAACGACCACATGTGCTAACTCAAACTCCTAAATTCGTCCCTGACCACAATCATTAAGAAAAGTTCAGATCGTGGATCATTATTCTTCTTCCATGTCTATAAGATTTTAAAACAAGAAAATTAGATTCTGCATCAATATTCAACATACCATGCAATAATCATTTCTTCGAATTATCTGTACAGTACCACACCCCACCCCCACCCCAC